CTTGACTTCAGAGCTCAACTCTGCTACTTTTTGAGCCCCCAGTGTGGACCTCAAGGTAAGTTCAGCTTCCACATCTGGGCACTGGGGATAACGTGTCACAATATGTGTGAAGACTACCTTAGGTAGAGCAACAGTGTCTAACTGAGTGATGGAAGTGTCGCAAGTGCTTGATAATTTATCTCTATAGCTACTTGAGTCATAATTAATAATGACTTCTATTTCTACAAATTTGTAATGAGAAAGAAACGTAAAACAATTTAGAGCAACAAGGTGATAGAGTGTACTCATTACGAAAGCATAGTGGGGTCTGAAGGTGAAGGTTTGGAGAAGACTTGAAAGGAGCTCCGGAAATTTGTGCTGTTCTCTTAATGCATGAGGTCTATTGTAAGAAAAGAGACTCATGGCAGGAAGATGGAATATTTTAGTCAGCCCAAAGCACCAACTGTATGGGTACTCAGTCCATAAGAAGCTGACCATCTGTGCAGCAAAGTTCATTATTTTCCACTGACTAAAACAAGTTTTTATTTTCTTCTTTCTCCAGGAGGACTTTGGATTAAGCAAACAAACAAACAAGATTTGCTATGTGGACCAGAAAGTTGGTAAAAAGTTTTGACATGATTCCTGTCCCGTTGCTCTTTTTGGAATCTGAGGACGCGGGATCTGTAGTAGTGATTCAGTTGAATAGTTCTTTTAATGAATTAAGGGTCCTCCATTGTGGGTAACAACCCATTTATAACTTAGAGGAAGTGGGAATTCTGCCTAGAACTGTCTGCATCTGTCATAACTCTTTCCTACATCTACCTTTCTGACACTAGCCTCAGCTTGAGATGCATAGAACCCATGTGAGCATCATTCTGCTTGTTTCTACATCACGCATCATGAGCAGGGGTTCTTTTGTGTGCCCCAAGCTCCATGGAGGAGAATGCCCAGGTGTCTCCTTGCAGTCCCTGTACTGACATGAGCTCCCCGGCCTTCCCAACAGCTCCTAACACTCTCCCGCTATGTCCTCCAGAACTCATGTAGACAGTCACTGGCATAGCCCAAGACACCCCTAATCCTTCCTCTGAACATCACCTTGACCTGCTTGCTCTTACAGAAATTTGTGTCCTGGAGACAGATTTGCTTGACGCCAACTATGAATGTGGTGATTTCCACTTTCGTGTCTGTCTTTCTGCCAGATCTCTATCTTTTGAACCCGTAGCATTAGAATATGCAGAATGTGTTGTATATATGCATATATGTTACATATTTATGAATCACATCAAGTTTACAATGTAACTGAAATTAATATAATATGATTCAGACTTCCCACCTTGAATTCTGAACTTCTATAACTGTTTATGCTCTGCTTCTTATATGGCCAAAAGATGTTTCAGAATGCTCCCCTTCTCTCCAAAACCTCACTGCTTCTACATCATTCTGTAGAAATATAAAAATTTCAGTCAGTCTCAGCCTCTCTCTTCTTCTCACTTGCTTATTCAGTATATCAGGAAATCTAATCAGCTCCACTTCTGAAATAGGTTTGAAATTTGTTCTACATTGGTACAAACCATCATCATCTTCTACCTAAAAGCATCCAGAATGTGTTTGTATAGTATTTATGATCCTTACCCTGCTAAATTCAATTATCAACAGAATTGCTACAGTGATACTTTTAAAAGATAATTTAGATCATGTAACCTTTTGGTCCTAATCCTATTATGCTCTCTAGTCTGACTCAAAATAAAAGGTGAAGAGCTCAAAATAGAGAATGAGGTCATTCTGGCTTTCAGGGGATTGTATCTCTTACTTAAACTTTCCCCCTCGCTGCAGAAAAATTGCACTGCTCTTGTGCTCTCCCTGGAATGCATTCTTGGCATCTCCAAACCCCAGCACCACACCACAGCCCGACCTCCTGGCGCCTTCTTCCTCCGAATACAGCTAGGATCTGCATTCCTGCTTTCTCCAAGTTTTGGCTTTAAAGCCAATTTCATCCATGAGGCTTTCCCACACCTTCATCTTTAAGGCTATCCTCATTCATCTCTAACCTTACTTTCCCCTTACTAGCTTTTTAAAATGCTTCTCTGCACGCAGTGTCTTTCCACTGTTCATTTTATTTTACACCAGCCATCCTTTCTAACATTTAGTTTCCATGGAAAGTACTAGTTTCCCTTTTATTTCTGGGATCTGGGGCAGTGTCTTAGTCATGGCAGACACAACAAAGCTCATTTTATAAAATACATAATTTGATCCACTCTGGCATGCTACAGTATAAATCAAGCTCTGAAGGATTTTCGCTGTTGCTGTTGTTGATGAGGATGATGTATTACCTATTTTTGTTGTCAAATGTGTTGCTCAGATTAAGAGATACAGTTATATAAGACTGGATATAAGATTGAATATTACTGTTTGCTTTCCAGAAACCTAAATTTTTGTTGTCTCTCTCTTTCTTCTTCTCTTACATTTTTAAAGCATATTTTGAATACAGTATAGCAATAATTGATAGGACATTAGAAATGGTACACAATTAGAAGACCAAGGGCACAGGCATTCCAGCATGGCTTTTGTGCTACACATTGCTGTCCTCAAGTTAGTTGCTTAGATGCAGATATCGGCATGCAGAGTTAGTCCACGTGAAAATTCTACACTTTAACTGCTATTTTCAGCAAACTGATGGAGACTTCTAGTACAATCACCCCAGCCATCCTGTATATATACTCGCATGCTTTTCCCCCTACCTATTTACCTATCTTTCCTCCACATCCGATCTCATCTGAAGGATTTTTAATGAAGCTTTTATTGTTTTGTTTTAGTCGTGATGCCTGAATCTTTTCAATTCAGAAACTCAAGTCATTCAATGCTAAGGTGTTCTGATTTATTCATTTTAAAAATCTTTGTATTTTCTCTTGCTCTTTCAAAATTTTTCTTTTTCAGAATTTTTTAATTTTATTCTGAATTATTTGACTAAAACTTTTAAAGGAAAATGTTGTAGAGATTGGTGACGTGCTCAGCGGCTTAAAGCACTTGCAAGCAGGCGCAGGGTCAGGGGTTCGATCCCCAGGTCTGCCCTGCTGGTCCCGCCCCCAGTGTGCGCTGAGACAGTGATTGAGACTGAGCGTGGTGGCACGCGCCTGTAATCCCAGCTCTTAGGAGGCTGTAAACAGGTGTATCACTACGAGTCTGAACTAGTGGTGAGACCCTGAACACCCTATAGACCCTTCCCTAAATTACAAAAATAAAAAGATTGTTGATTTAGAATGGAGATTCCATAACACGTATGTACACAGGCTTCAAAACAATTCCTCATGGTGTAGATTAGTCTATATCTAAAGTAACTCAGAAAATGAAATGAGGGGCTGGGGAGATAGCTCAGGGGCATAAGCATCTGCCTGGCAAACACAAGGACCCAAGTTCAATCCCCAGCCCCACATGCCATGCCAGCCCCAGAACCAGTCATGGTGGCACCCACCTGTAATCTCAGCACACAGGAGGTTGAGACAGGAGGACCACTGTGAGTTTTAGACCAGTCTGGGGGCTACAAAAGTGAGCACAAGACCAGCCCAAACTGCATAGGGAGAGCTTGTCTCAAAAAAAGAAAGTGATTTTACAGTGGCACAAGTGGAATACCCATACACACTCACAGAGAGGACTGTTGGGTGAAAAAGAGGAAACTACATGAAAGACAGGAGAGTAGGAGGAGCTTAGGAGGAGAGCGAAGGTGTGAGTGGTGCGGCCAAGCCTTTCTCCTGGAAGCTCCATCTCATCATGAGCCACTTCGCGAGCCATAGGTACATCAGGCCCTCCGACTGAACCATGACATCTAAGAAGTCACACAACTCCAATTTGTACCATAACCTTATTTTGATAGTAAGCTGATGAGGAAACTGGTGCCAGGTGGCATTTTAAACCACACAGGTGGAGCTGAATACGCATCCCGATGTCCCTAACCAGAGCCATGTTAAAGATGTGGCATCAGGACACGTGAGTGGACAGTCAAAAATTCTTTAAGTTGATAAAGTTGAAAACTGTTCTTTTGTAGACAGTTATTCCATACACATTCATTTATACTGTCTTCCCACTGTGGTAAATTACACCCCTACGTACCATAATACTCCACAAGACTGCTTTAGGATAAGGATGCTCTGCATAACTATCTTCCAATTGAATTTTAGGTTGACTTTCCTTAGTGCCATGGCCTCTACGTCCGTGTACTGCCCAAATTCTTACATCGGAATCTTGACGTCCAGGAGGTTGGCATCGCACTGTGTGGCCTTTGGAAGGGGATTGGTACATGAAGGAAGAGCTCTTGGGATTGGCGTCAGTGCCCTTAGAGATCTCAGAGAACTAGATAGTCGCTCCCACCATCTAACAGCATAGCAAAAATGTGCAGGCACAATTCAGAGAGTGAGACTTACCAGGTATCACAACTGCAGATCCTGGTCGTGTACATTCCAGCCTCTAAACATGTGGGAAATAAACTGATGCTGTTGACAAGCTATGCACAGGATGACAACATCACTGGAGAGCACTTGTCAAACGCATCCAAGACCGTAACTTTGACTTCCAGCACCAAAACACAAACTCAAAAGAGAAAACTAAAAATCAAATAGATGCTAACTCCACTGTGATACTTTGTTACAGAGGCCTGAATAGAATAAGACAAAAAGTTTATTTTATTTTAGCATAAAAATTTAACTTGCATTTGTATTGGAAATGTGGAAGAGGAAGTTTGACCTTTGTATTAGTAATTAATATGAAAATCTTCAAAAAATGTCTTGTCTATAATTTAGTTCCATCTTCTAAAAAGTGAGAATACTGGAATATCTAAACTTACTTCTTCTGGGACGCTATGCAATATATACCTTAAAGTAGTATTCTCATTTCTTATGGAATATTTTGGAAGCAGTTACAGCCACGCCGAAGTAAGCCACCGTGTGGAAGGCAACAGGGCCCCGCAGGTCCCGCCCACCGGTCACTCTCCTTCTGCTTTCTCCTGGCTCCAGGGCACCACGTAGCTCCCAATGGAGAACAGCACAGAGGTGGCCGAGTTCCTTCTGCTGGGGCTGACCCATGACCCCGGGCTGCAGACCCCGCTCTTCCTCGTCTTCCTCCTCGTCTACCTCAGCACGCTGCTTGGGAACCTGGGAATGGCTGCGCTGATCCTGCTGGACTCGCGTCTGCACACGCCCATGTACTTCTTCCTCAGTCACCTCTCCCTGGTGGACTTTGGGTATTCTTCAGCCGTCACTCCCAAGGTGATGGCTGGTCTCCTCTCAGAGGACAACGTGATGTCCTACAGCGCATGCGCCACCCAATTCTTCTTCTTTGTGGGCTTCATCACTGCAGAAAGTTTTTTCTTGGCCTCCATGGCTTATGACCGGTATGCAGCCGTGTGTAGACCCCTGCACTACAGCAGCACCATGACCACGAGCAAGTGCGTTTGTCTGATCACCGCCTCCTACGTCTGTGGCTTCTTGAACTCTGCCATCCACACCGGGAACATCTTCAGGCTGTCCTTCTGCGGGCCCAATGTGGTCGATCACTTCTTCTGTGATGCCCCTCCTCTCCTGGCACTCTCCTGCTCAGACAGCTACGTCAGTGAGATGGTCATCTTCCTGGTGGTGGGTTTCAATGCCCTGTTTGCTGTCCTGGTCATCTTGATCTCCTATCTGTTCATATTCATCACCATCCTGAGGATGCAGTCCTCTGAAGGGCGCCAGAAGGCCTTCTCCACCTGCGCCTCCCACCTCACCGCCGTCTCCATCTTCTACGGCACCGTCATCTTCATGTACCTGCAGCCCAGCTCCAGCCACTCGCTGGACACGGACAAGATGGCATCTGTGTTCTACACCATGGTCATCCCCATGCTGAACCCCGTGGTCTACAGCCTGAGGAACCAGGAGGTCAAGAGGGCCTTCAGGAAGGTTGTGGGGAAGGCAAAGTCTTCCATAGGATTCATATTTTAGTTCTAAAGAGTCTGTAAGAAGGCAGTGTCACCACCTTACATAGGTAGCTGATAGATTTAAAATGCAAACTATCTAGCTCACCAATTTCTAATTTATTTCATTTATAGATGAATAGATGATAGATAGATAGATAGATAGATAGATAGATAGATAATTATACAGACCAAAATTCTTAAAGAATAAAAGACCTGAAAATAATCCTTTGGACTTACCTATGAATGTGGATTTCTGATTTTTAAAACTACTTTTTAATAAGCTTTCAAAACCCACGTACACATGCACATGCACCGTTCTTTAAGCACTGTCTACACATGCATCATCCATGAGAAACGAAGCCACTCACACGCCCGCAGGTGGAGGTGTGTATTCAGTGGATCGGTTGTTGTAGTAGCACCTACAGCAATTAGTTTGATGTCTGAGCCCACATTTATAGCATTAAGAATTCGACTTATTTAGGGAAGACAGCATAAAAAAACATTAAATATACTACAAATTAAAGCTAAAATTTGAGGTTATCAAATGTTTATACATTTTATTGCCTCTATTTAAACTGGGAATATTTTAATTAATTAAAATTAAATAGCTATTAACTGGGTTTAGTGCATATTTGAGCACAAGCAAGCAGCGTGCCTTGCTTAAAACAAGGCAGCTGTCATTGCCCTGTCCTGTCCTTTCCGTATGGTTTCAGTCCTTGAGTTCTTCTATCTAGATTTCATATGTCAGAGTTCATTGGGTCCTAGAATCACCCTGCTAGGCTGCAGGACAGTAGAATTTATTCCTTCTATCTGTGTTTTGGGATTGTTTTAAATTTTTATAAAAGTTAAAAATTTAAATATAGTGTAATACATATTTTTATAAAATGAGAAATGCCCTTTATTAAAATATTTCAAAAGAGGGCCAGGGGTATAGCTCAGTAGACTAAGCGCTTGCTTAGGTGAGTGCAGGGGCCAGGGTTCAATCCCTGGCACCACATGCCATGGTGGCCCTGCCCCCAGGGTCACTGAGCGAGCAGTGGAGTCCGGCATGGTGGCGCATGCCCGCAATCCCAGCACTAGGCAGGCAGAAATCAGGAGGATCACTACAAGTCTGAGCTATATAGTGAGACCCTGCACAGAAAAAAAAAAAAAAAAAACTTAAAATATTTCAAAAGATCCCAAGTTCAGATTTATTAATACTTTTTTCTTTGTTCCTGTTTTCAATGACAACAAATAAATACTTTTTGGTGAGTTAGACTTCCACGCTAAGTGTCTTAGTCATTTCTCTCTCCTTGCTGAGATCACATATCTGCCCCTCATAGTGAAAGGGGTAAAGATTTATTTAGCTCACAGTTTGTAGAGGTGTTAGCCCCCAGCAGAGCGGCACGTGGCCAAGGGCTGTCACAGAGGAGAAGAGTGCAAGGCACCCACTTTCGGCCTCTTTAATCTCATCTAGACTACTGTGGATAACACTCGCACCTTTCCTATCACTCCATGTTAGAAAAACAGGCCTGAGGCAAGATCCACAAATATATATGAGTGCACAAGATTGGCTTGGGACGGCGACCCATGGAGTCGGATGAGGAAAGCGCAGGGCTTCTGTGTGCGCACTGGAGACCAAAAGCTCAGCCACAGGGCTGGAGTTCACCACCGTGTCCCTGGTGCATCCCATTAGGAGGCCAGTGCAGTTGGGGTGTCTGCAATGGAAGGCTGAGGGGTCTGTTCTGCAAGGCTGGAGGACGCGCACCAGGAGCCCAGCGTCTGCACTGGAGGCCGGGCGACAACTTCCACGGCGAAGGCCAAGAGTGAGTTCCTCGGAGGAAGCAGAAGCAGAATCCTACGTCGCTGTTTTTCCTCTGTACCATTCGGGTCACAAGCTGCCTCTGGGCGGGTGTTCCGCAGCCAAGGCCATGCAGCTGCTGAGCCAGTTTAGTTATTTTTCTTTTGCTAACGCTGACACAATCAACCACTGCACCCTCAATCTTAGTGCTTTTGAGTCTAGCCTTATACCACGAATTAATTTTAACATCTCACACTCTAATTTTATCCAGATCAGGAAAAGCCCCACCTATGACTGCATAAGGCTTTGGGGACATCCATAGACAAGGCACAGCATTCTACCCCACTCCATCATGCATATCGCTTTACGTAAAAAAGCATCTAGTCTATCTCTAAAAGTTGCTTCAGTCTTGATAGTTTTAGCATTATCAAAAAAAAGTCTAAGTCTGAAGTCTCCTTTGAGATTTGAGGCAAACTCTTAGACGTAAGGCCTGCATAAATGAAAAGAAAGTTAAACCCTTTTAACCTCCCAAAGCTGGTCTTTACTGGCATTATTGATCCAAGCACTGGGCTCTTCTGTGCTCTGGCCAGAATCTCCCATTGGCACTACCCAAGGCTTCCCATCACCACTGCTTCAGCTGGCATCTTCAAACTTTTTCTAAGCCATTCCCCACGGCTCCTGAACCACATGGTGAGGTATAGTCACAACACCTTCACTCCTGGTACCAGCTTTTGTCACAGGTTTTGTTTTTTTTTTCCCTTTACAGGGACAAAATACCTGACACCTAAATTTAAACAGGAAAAGTTTTATTTAGCTCACAGTTTGTAGAGGTTTTAATCTATAAATGGCAGACCCCAGCACACAGAAGCACACATAAGAGTGGCATCAGAGAAAAACAAAACAAAAAAAAAACTCAGCCCATTGTGCCCACAAAGTAGCAAAAGCAACAAGGAATCTGAACACTGTGTCTATAACTTCATTTTTTCTAGACTACATAGCCCTGAGAAAATGTTTTTTGTTTTTTTTTTCCTTGTTCTTTTTTTTTTTCCTTTTTGTGGAACTGGGAATTCAACTCAGACCCTTGTGCTTGCCAGGCAAGCACTTATTCTACTGAGCTATCTCCCTGGCCCCCTAAGTTTTTGTTGTTGATGTTTTGTTTCTTAGGGAAGGGTCTACAGGGTGCTCAGGGTCTCACTACTAGGTCAGACTCATAGTGATGCTCCTGTTTACAGCCTCTCAAGGTTTACAATCCTTGCAAGTGCTGGGATTACAGGCGTGCACCACCAAGCCCAGTCTCAATTGATGTCTCAGCATGCCCCGGGGGCCGAGCCAGCACGGCAGGCCCAGGGATCGAAACCCAAGGCCCTGTGCCTGCTTATAGGCACTTTAATCTGCTGAGCTATTCGGCCAGCCCTTGCACATCACTGATAACACTCACACCCTGGATATTTTTGCCCTTAAGTTTCATATTGTATTTGTTTGATAAGTTAAACTTCCATATTCAGGAATCATTATCTAGAAAATCAGGTGCTTAGATGACATTCTCAATAGTTAAAAAAAAAATATGGCAGCATATAAAGAAACACACACATATGACTTTCCTTCATTTTTTAAGCGATGTATCACATCTATCAACTTGTGTATGGCAAACCATATCGCATTTATTGATTTTATTATGGTATCTTTATTGTGTCTCTCTGGTTTAATAGCGTAGTGATGTTGGTCTTGTAGAACAATGTTAGAAAAATTCTCTCTTCTTACATTTTCAGGAATAGTAGAAGAGTTAGTATTAGTTTTTCCTTAACTATTGGCAGAACCCATCAGTTACATCACGGCCTTTCCTGGCAGGAACGTGCTCTTCGATGGTCCGTTCAGTGTTTCTCCTGACGTGCTCACTCGGCAGCAGTACGCACTCTCGTAATTGGCTGTTCACATGCTTGGGTTGCTAGTCTCATGACTCAGTTGTGGGGAGGTGTCCATGCGCAGAACTTTGTTCATTTCTGCTGGGCAACCCTTTCCCCGCATACAGTTATTCATAATAACTTTGAACCACCTTCAGTAGCTCCATGGTACCAGTTGCACTTTCTCCTTCCTTCGATTTTATTTACCTGAGCTTGTACTTTTTATTCAGTGCTGTAGATAAAATTTGGTCAATTTTACAGTTCAAAAAATAACCTTTGTTTTGTTGATTATTGTATTGCCTTTTAGCATCAAATTTACCTTTATTCTGATTTTTTTCTACTAATTTTAGATTTAAAAATTGGTTTAAAAATTTTTTAAAAATTTCTTGAATGCTTGGTTGTTGTTTTTCTGGGCATTAATGTTGTAAATTTCTCTCTTAATTTTTTTTCCTTCCACTTGGGATTACAATGTTTCCATTTTCACTTTTTATCAAGGAATTTTAAATTTTCTTTTTGACTGATTTGGTTTTCAGGAACACATGTTTTTTGAATTTTCTATGTATTTCTGTAGCTTCCTATGTTTTTCTTGTTTTTGACTTTTAATTTATTATATTGCATTTGAAAAGGTATACGATAGGATTTCAAACTGTAAATATTTATTGAGATTTGTTTTTGACTCACCAAATACTCTCCTGTGTATAATGCTTCATTTACGGCTCAGAAGACTGAATTTTTCACTTCAGAATGGAATGCCCTGCAGACACCAGCACAGCCCATTTGATATATAGCACATACTTTAATTCTGTTACTGCTTTAGTATTCTGTCTGATCCTTTCACTATTGAAAAGAGTGTCGAAGTCTCCTAGTATTATTGTGTTGAAGTTTATCTCTCTTATTATTGTTCTGATTTTTTTGAAATGGTCTCACCATGTAGTTCAAGCTGTCTTGAACTCACTTTGTAGTCCAGGCTGGCCTTGAACTCACAGTGACCCTACTGCCTCAGTCTCCCAAGTGCTGGGGTTACAGGCGTGCTCCACCACGCCTGATATAAATATGTCTTTTGTTGTTTTGTTTGTTGTTGTTTTTAGAAAAAGTCTTACTGTATAATACAGCCTGGCCTTGTCTTTCCTTATGTAGCCCAGACTGACCTGAAACTCACCGCAATCCTCCTGCCTCAGTTACCAAAGTGCTGAGATTACAAAAGTGGCCCACCATGCCCGGCTACTCTCTCATCTTGTTTATTCATATTTGCTTTATAGATTTAGATTTCTGACATTTTCTAAATGTATTTATTAATTATTTCCCATGTTATGTCTAAGATATTTGATATTCAGACAGATAGTG